AACACATCTTTCATTCAATGACAGGATTGCGAGAGTGTCCATTGTCATGGCATCCGCAACATTACCCCTTCACAACTATCCAGAGGCCTTCGGCACATCCCGCCGCCTAGCCAGGCGCCCCCTTCTGCAGCTGCGCTCTCGGCACGCGGCCTGTGGTCTGCCAGGCGCAGAGGACTACACCATCTTCTCATACTTCAGCGTGCGTTTCACTTCCCAGGGTGCCAGTTTTCTTTCTCACCACGCAGTTGAATCACTTTTTGGCTGGCTGCTGCATTCGTTCTTCACTTGCTTTGCTTACGTCGGCGCATCCCGCCACCGTGCCTGGGTCGTGGACTGAGAGGCCTTGTGGATACCTCTTGGAGCCTTGTGGGAAGCCTCGTGGGCGCCTCTCGGAGACCTCTTGGGGGCGTCCTCAGTGCTTCTTGGGGGCGTCTCGGCAGCCTCTTTGGGGCCTCGAGCGCCTCCTGGAGGCCTGCTTGCTGTCTCGGGGGCCCCCTTGCAGCGGGTGGGCTCACGTGCCTCTTCGGGTGCCCCTCGTGGTGGCCTCGGGACTGGAGCCTTCCTGGGGCCTTCTTGAGGACCTCTTCTCGGGCCATCTTGTACGCGCTTCGGACCACACGTGCGAGTACGCGAACGCATTGGAGCTGTCTGCGGTGTTCGAGTGATTTCGGCCTCCTTGCCCAGCCCCAGGGGTATTCAAGACGGCCCGAGAAGCCCCCAAGATGGGGCCATCCTAGGGTATGTCAGAAGCACCTGCTCCTAGAGACGCTCCCCAGGCCTCGGGAAAAGACGCGCCACAGCATGGAGAGAGCGCCAGGGAATTCTGGAGCTCTGGGGCCCGGGCATACAAAACGTAGTAGCTTTAAGTCGGGCGTGTCTCTCCACAGGAGGAATTTGATTCAAAAGTAATAGAAAAATAGTCCAGGGACGTTTTTTTGGGGATGTGTGAGCATTTTCGAATAGTCTCGGAACAACTGTTCGCCCAAACTCCGCCTGTAGGGGGACATGCCCGACCTAAACGTAGTATTTGCAGTGACCAGTACAGAACCCAAAGGGACACGAGGCACTCCGCTCGGTGCCTCGCGGCACGGCGGCGGATACACCTGACGCTGATTTGGCCAGGCCTCCCAAGCAGGGCGAGTTTTGTGAGGGAAATCAGCAAACAGACACAAGGAATCGTCGACCCCCAGGAGAACATGGGAACATTTGGGAAGTGGGGGGGGAAGACGAAAGCCCTGAAACCATGGGAAACTGTGGGGAATCCTGGGATTCGTGTCTTTCTCTCTGCGTGTCCCAGGGCCCTTTCAGAGTTCAAGGGCAGTCGGGATCAACTCTCACTGAGAAGAGTGTGGCCCTCTGCTGCCTCGACACTCAAGCACACTGTGCATCGACGGAAAGGGGGACTTGAGCCGCGCGTCTTCGGCTGCCCAGGTCACCCTGAGGCGTTCTTCGATAGCTGTGCTTATTGGTACACCCCTGGTGGATGCGAGAGAGCGCGCGTCTCTCCTGGGAAGTACAGTCAATCCGCATAATAAGGATGCGCACTTTTCTAAGGTTGCCCTTGCACCCTTCCCCTTCGGCCCATCCTTGGCCGCTTCTGCTGGCCGCGCCCCGCTTTCAAAGTGTCGACACGGCTTTCCGGCATCCTTATCGTGCGTCTTTCTCATATGGGTTGATTGTACGGTCGGACCGAGGTATAAGATCGAAGTCGGTTCGGGGAGCGTACCCTAGTGCTCTTCGTGTTTGTTGGATGTTCCTCTGCATCCTGGGGGAGGGTACCCTCGAAGGTTCTTCACTTTGGCCGGCGGAGGGTTTCATTTTCTCGAAGGATGTGTTTCTGTCCTAAGTCTGGCCGTATTATTGGGCGGCGTGCCTGGGGGGACAGCGAGAAGGGGCGGGCCTTCTCAGAAGGCTCGGAAGTCCCCAGGCCTTCCGAGAAGTGTCTTGAGAAATGTCCCAGCAGGCGCGAGGGGCTTGTTAGAAGTCCCGCCGCCTTCTGAGAGGGCCTTCTCCTTCTCACTTCCCCCCTCGCTCGCCGCCGATTTGTTGCGGGGAAAACCAAACAATGGCAATCCATGGAGGCCCATCAGAGGGGCCGCCGAACATAGCGAGAGTCCCGATCGTGGCAGCTCGACCCGCGACCCTCGAGGCCGAGACCGCGACGACGACGAACGACGACGACGACGCTCGCTGCCGAACTATGCTTTCGCACTGTCGCATCCAAGACGCCTGCGGTGAGTCGCCGCCCACGCTCGTTTGAACACGCCCATATGTGCGGCCAGAGGCCGGGCCGAAGGCCGAAGCCTCGCGCCAAGAGCTGTTGGACCGTGTGCTCTCCCAGCCGCCGCCTCCTGCCGCTCCTCCTCCTCTTCTTCCTCCTCCTCCTCCTCCTTCCTCCTCCTCCTCTTCCTCCTCTCCCTCCTCCTCCTCCTCCTCCTCCTCCTCCTCCTCCTTCTCCCCCTCCTCTCCTCCTCCTCCTCCTCCTCCTCCTCCTCCTCCCTCCTCCTCCTCCTCCTCCTCCTCCTCCTCCTCCTCCTCCTCCTCCCCCTCCTACTCCTCCTCCTCCTCCGCCTCCTCCTCCTCCTGCTCCTCCTCCTCCCCCTCCTCCCTCCTCCTCCTCCTTCTCCTCCCCCCTTCTCCTCCTCTTCCTCCTCCTCCTCCTCCTCGTCCTGGCCGCTCCAGCGCGTGGAGGAGGAGGAGGAGGAGGAGGAGGAGGAGGAGGGGAGGGAGGAGCAGGAGGGGAGGAGGCGGAGGAGGAGGAGGAGGGAGGGGGAGGAGGGAGGAGGAGGAGGAGGAGGAGGAGGAGGAGGAGGAGGAGGAGGAGGAGGAGGAGGAGGAGGAGGAGGGAGGAGGAGGAGGAGAGGAGGAGGAGTTGGTGGAGAGGGAGGCGAGGGAGGGGAAAGAGAGACGTTCTCCGCAGGCCCTCCTGAAGCCTCGGGGGGGGTTTCCCTGGAAGCCCTCTGGGGGAATGGTGATCATTTTCTCATTCCTTGTATCGCGGACCGGCGCGGGCGGCCTCCCACCCCCACAGAGGAGATCTCTGCTGTTTGTTTGGCGCCTGTTTCGAGCAGGCGGGGTCTCTCCCCCATCGGACGCGCTGTTGCAACCAGTCGCATTGAGCAGAGTTCTGGAGCCAGACCCCTGCGTCACCCCCTTTCCGCCCAATGTCGAAACGTCGAATCAGACAATGTTGACAAGGAGGAGGAGGAGGAGGAGGAGGAGGAGGAGGAGGAGGAGGAGGAGGAGGAGGAGGAGGAGGAGGATGAGGAGCGGGAGGAGAAGGAGGAGAGGGAGAAGGAGGCGCCTTCTGCAGGCCCTCCTGAAGCCTCCGGGGGGGGGGGGCTTCCCGGGAGCCCTTTGGCGGTTCCGAGGGTCTTAGGGGCCTCGAAGGGCCTTGGGGGAACACTGGGGAGATGAGGAGAAGGGAGGAGGAGAGGGAGGCCCACACACGTACGTTGCTACGGGGGGCGACCCCATTCGCATGCAAGGAAAGGGAGGGGGGGAGCGACCCCAGCTCGCTGGGGTCGCGGGCAGGGACTTCAAAGGCCACGGGCCATCGCCGTCGCTGCCGCCGCTCTCGCGTCGCGTGCGGCCCGACCCAGCATGGCTGCCTCCTCCCACGCACGCCCGAACAGCTTCAAGCCTCGCTCAGCATCCGGCCCCCTGGAGCCCTGAACATCCCTAGGAGCCAGGAGGAGAGGGATGAAAAGGAGGAGAAGGAAGAAGAGGAGACCTCTGGAGGCCCTCTGGAAGCCTCCTGGGGGCTTCCTGCGAGCCTTTTGGGGCCTCCTGGGGGCTACCTGGGACCTCTTGGGGTTCTCCTGGGGCCTCCTGGGGACCTCTTAAAGGGTCTCTGGGGGCGTCTGAGGGACCTCTTGGCCTTCGGACGCCGTCTCGGGGCCCGCTTTAGGGCCGTCTTGGAGGTTTCTGGGGCCGTCTTGGTGCAGTCTTGAGGGCCTCTTGAGCTGCATTCGGGCCCTCTTGGGCCGTCCTTCTGGCTTCTTGGGGGTATCTAGGGCCGTCTTCGGGCGATCTTCGGGGTCGACGGGCCCGTCTTGGAGCGTCGGACGCCCGAACACGCGAGAACGTTAGAATGAGTAGAACGCGTAAGGAACACCTATTCTGGCCTTCTGGAGGTCCTTGGAGCCCCCTTGGGGCGTGCAAGGGGCCTCTTGGCCTTCAGAGGCCCTCGTGGGCCCTCCCTGGGCAGCCGTGGGTCCTTATTTGGGCTCTTTAGGGCCGTCTTGGAAGTCTCTGGGGCCGTCTTGAGGGTTTCTTGGGCTGTCTTGGGGCCTCGTGGGCCGTCTTGCTGGCCTCTTGATGGCCTCTTGGGCCGTCTTGGGGTGATCTTGGGGGGGGCGTCGGATGACCGAACAGGTGAGAACGTTAAACTTATCGAAACACCGAAGGAGTATCATGGATCTTGGTTTCCTGGAGGTCCTCTTGGAGCCCCCTTGGGGCTTTTACGGGGTTTCTTGGCCTGCGGCGGCCGTTTTGGACCCTCCCTGGGCAGTCGTGGATGGTGTTCCCTTTTGCCTCCTCGCCCCCCACGTTGTCGGATGCCCAGTGTGATGGCGCTCGACTGTAGATTACTTGGGCAATCGAACAAGCTCTGAGAGACACTGGCACGACTTCTCATACGTTGGGATATCTTCGGCACATCCCCCAAACCTCTGATTGCTTTGTACACTGTGCGGGCACCCAGTCACGATAGGTTGCTCGCTTCGGGAGCTGATGGTGCACCAGGAACGTGCGAGGCGCGGGCATGTTGGGTCCATGTCGTTGTCCTGCACATGTGCTTGCCCAGCGGCGTGGTACACCGTATCTTCAAGTGGAGGCAGGACGCATTATACCTGCTGCGCGTACGCCTCTGCGCTCGTGACTAGCAACTTACGCATCAAGAACATGCTCTCAGCGTGAGTGTCATACGCGGCTTGCCAGCCTATGTGTTCCCGACTCGTACCGTGTCCGCAGGCGAAGCGCGAATCGACGAGAGCAAGCTAGAGATGCCTGAGGTCTGCGCGCTCTTGGGATTCGGGGGATCTCTGTGCTGCAGTCTCGGAGCATGGCACGGGCGAGTCTGCTCATGCTTATCTGGGCCTCCCAAATTCGGCCCGAGCAGATGAGGCCGGAGGGTGCGCACCGCAGCGGTAACGCATCGGAGATGCGCTCGATGTGGAGCCAGATTTCCTCCACACCGACGTCGGCGATGCACCGACGACGTCGCCGATGCATCGCCGATGTATCGGTGATGCATCGCCGATGTGGCGCGATGCGGCGCGATCCTGCGACACCATTTAATCCGACCGAACCTGGGAGACCTCCAATTTTAACGTGCAATTCACACGACCCCGCACGTTGCAGCAGTGATATATCGTGTCCTGCGTAGCCTGGAAGGGCCAGATCTCTCCCACGATGCTGTGATCATTGGCAAAGTGCCACTGACGTTGTCACGGCCGGACATATCTTCGAATGGGGTATGCTATGCCTGATGTTGGGTTGGACATACGGCTTGGTCTTTCCAGATAATCACACTTGTTTTATGTTGCGCTTGGGGCCTAGATTCGACAGCATGTGGCACGTTCGGTTCAAATCGATTCTTTGAAGTGCTAAGACGAATCCTGCCCGGTGTAGGCCTACCACATGTTATGTTTGATTGCGGTTTGCCGCACCTCTTCTTATCATTCTGAGCAGGGGTCTTCTTGTCCATGGGCACGGCTGTCACAGCAATCGCACCACATTTTTGTTGATATTTCCATCATATACCCAGCTTACTTATGTGAGCATACATTGCTTCGTTGCCATGTCCTATGTTTGCAGCGTCGCAAGATGGCAGCAGTATGTCGTCGCATGGACTTGGGGCAAGGCGAGCACAGGAGCATGACAACGGGCATGGTAGGTGAAATCGCATATGGTTGTCAAGCAGGCTGAAGCAAAGTCCAGCAGGAGTCGACCACGTCTTGCGCTAATAAAATGGATTGACGTTTCGCGTATCTCCACGCTGGCTCAAGCCGCTTTGTATCAAGGCGCGTTGTGGCTGAGGACCCAACCCGACCGTACATCTTGCATACACGTCTTGCCCGCAGCGATTTCCGCTGATCCTTTCCATCCACAGCTACCAATTACGCGGGCGATCTCCTGTCGTTCCCCTCGGTAGTAGGATGGTAGGCCCAACTCCACGCTGGACCGTGTGTCTGTCTTGGCTCGTAGCCTGCGGCATCATGCATACTTCAGTATCTCTCAAGACGGAGTTCAATTCGTTGGCCAATGCCTCGAGCAGCGTGGGCTCGACAACGTGGGCGCACTACGCCTTCGAGAATACCCTTTCGGACACGTCAGGGAATGGGCAACATTTTGTGTCGGGGAGCTCGTGGAGCCCAACCTACGTAGCAGGAGTTAGTGGACAAGCTGTGTATTTGAATACGGCCTCAGGAGTTTATGCGGGTAGTTCACATTCTTGGTTGAAGGGCCCAACGATAAGCAATACGGATGTGTCGGGCCAATTCTTCGAGATCTCGTTCTACCTCGCGATGGTGAGCCAAGGTTATTTTCACGGAGAGGCGCTGCTCACTTTCGCTTCGACAAGCGACTCGACTGATAGGGTTGCCCTGCTGGAGAAAGGGCACGGCGACGGTGACTTGACATTCGCACCGTCCAGCACCGTCGTATTGAGTGCGGCCAACGTGTGGACCAGCGCGTGGCACGCCGTCAAGCTCTCGACCGCAGATCCTTGCAGCTCTTCCACCTGGACTCTCGACTTCGATGGGACAACCTACTCTGCTGCATCGGTTCCTTCAATTTGCAACAGGGAGCTCCACCTGAACCGCCATTGCTGGGCCGGCGGGCAGTCTTGCTCATCGCGGATCAACATGATGATTGACGAAATGGTGATCACGAGCGGCGTCGCCACTCCGCCAACCCCGAGCCCGGCGTCCAGCCCCACGCCCAGCCCGACGGCCAGCCCGACGGCATCCACCACCACGGCATCCAGCACCACTTCGCGAACAAGCACTACCGAGTCGAGCACTACCGCGGTGTCTACCAGCAGTGAATCGAGCACGACATCGCGGACCAGCACCACCGAAACCAGCAGCACCACGGTGTCCACCACGTCAGAATCTAGCAGCACGTCGCGGACCAGCACCACGGAAACAAGCAGCACCACGGTGTCCACCACGTCGGAGTCGAGTACCACGTCGCGGAGCAGCACTACGGAATCAAGCAGTACCACGGGGTCCACCACCACAGAAACAAGCAGCACTACGGGTTCCACGATGACGGATTCGAGCACCACGTCGCGGACAAGCCTTACAGAAACGAGCAGCATCACAGTTTCCACCAGCACGGATTCTAGCACGACGTCGCGGTCCAGCATTACGGAAACCAGCAGTACAACAAGGTCTTCCACTACGGAGTCGAGCACGACGTCGAGATCCAGCACGACGGACACCAGTAGCACCACGAGATCTTCTACCACGGAGTCGAGCATCACATCGCGGTCAAGCACTACGGAAACGAGCAGTATCACGGGGTCCACGACCACGGGGACCAGCAGTACCACATGGTCCACGATGACAGGGTCGAGCACGTCATCGCGGACGAGCACTACCGAAACGAGCAGTACCACCGTGTCCACCACCACGAAATCGAGCACGACGTCGCGGACGAGCACTACGGAAACGAGCAGCACCACGGTGTCTACCATTACAGGGACAAGCACGACGTCGCGGACCAGCACTACAGAAACGAGCAGTACCTCTGGGTCTGTCACAACGGGATCGAGCACCACGTCGCGGACTAGCACAACTGAGACGAGCATTACCACGGCGTCCAGCACAACGGAGTCCAGCACGACATCCAGGACAGGTACTACGGGAACAAGCAGTAGCACGGGGTCCACTACCACGGAGTCAAGCAGCACGTCGCGCACCAGCGAGACAGAGTCGAGCAGCACCATTGTGTCCACAACGGCGGAGACGAGCAGTACCACGGGGTCCACCATCACGGATTCAAGTACCACGTCGTGGACCAGCATTACGGAAACCAGCAGTACAACGGGATCCACCACTACGGCATCCAGCACCACGTCGCGGACCAGCACCACCGAAACCAGCAGCACCACGGTGTCCACCACTTCAGAGTCTAGCACCACGTCGCAGACCAGCTTTTCGGCAACGAGCAGCACCACAAGGTCGACTACCACGGAGTCCAGCACGACGTCGCAGACCAGCACTACAGGGACGAGCAGCACCACGGGGTCTTCCGCAACACAGTCTAGCACCACGTCCCAGAGCAGCACCACGGGAACAAGCACTACCACGTGGTCAACCACTTCTTCGGACTCGAGCAGTACCACGGAGTCCACCACGACGGAGTCTAGCGCTACGTCGCGGAGCAGCACTACGGAAACGAGCAGTACCACAGAGTCCACCGCGACGGAATCGAGCACGACGTCTCGGACGAGCAGCACAGAAACGAGCAGCACCACGGCTTCCACCACAACACAGTCGAGCATGACGTCGCGGACCAGCACTACGGAAACGAGCAGCACAACGAGGTCTTCCACTACAGAGTCGAGCACTACGTCGAGATCCAGCACCACAGAAACGAGTAGCTCCACGAGGTCTTCTACTACGGACTCGAGCACCACGTCGCGGACCAGCACGACGGAAACGACCCGCACCACAGGGTCCACGACTACCGAGTCGAGCAGTACCACGGTGTCCAGCACCACGGATTCGAGCACGACTTCGCGGACCAGCACCACGGAGACGAGCAGCACAACGGGGTCCACCACCACGGCATCCAGCACCACTTCGCGAACAAGCACTACCGAATCGAGCACTACCACGGTGTCTACCACGTCGGAGTCTATCAGCACGTCGCGGACCAGCACCACGGAAACGAGCAGCACCACGGTGTCCACCACGACGGAGTCTAGCAGCACGTCGCGGACCAGCACCACAGAAACAAGCAGTACCACGGTGTCCACCACGTCGGAGTCGAGTACCACGTCGTGGACCAGCACTACGAAATCAAGCAGTACCACGGGGTCCACCACCACGGAAACGAGCAGCATTACGGGTTCCACGATGACGGATTCTAGCACAACATCGCGGACAAGCACTACCGAAACGAGCAGCACCGCGGTTTCCACAACGACGGCGTCGAGCACCACGTCGCGGGCCAGCACTTCGGCAACGAGCAGCACTACGAGGTCGACTACCACGGAGTCCAGCACGACGTCGCAGACCAGCACTACAGGGACGAGCAGCACCACGGTGTCTACCGCAACACAGTCTAGCACCACGTCCCAGAGCAGCACCACGGGAACAAGCACTACCACGTGGTCAACCACTTCGGACTCGAGCAGTACCACGGAGTCCACCACGACGGAGTCTAGCAGCACGTCGCGGACCAGCACCACCGAAACAAGCAGCACCACGGTGTCCACCACGACGGAGTCGAGTACCAGGTCGCGGACCAGCACAACGGACTCAAGCAGTACCACCCGGTCCACCACTACGGAGTCGAGCAGTACCACGGGGTCCAGCACGACGGAGACGAGCACTACGTCGCGGAGCAGCACTACGGAAACCAGCAGTACCACAGAGTCCACAACGACGGAATCGAGCACGACGTCTCGGACGAGCAGCACAGAAACGAGCAGCACCACGGCTTCTACCACAACGCAGTCCAGCACGACGTCGCGGACCAGCACTACGGAAACGAGCAGCACAACGAGGTCTTCTACTACAGAGTCGAGCACTACGTCGAGATCCAGCACCACAGAAACGAGTACTAGTAGCTCCACGAGGTCTTCTACTACGGACTCGAGCACCACGTCGCGGACCAGCACGACGGAAACCACCCGCACCACAGGGTCCACGACTACCGAGTCGAGCAGTACCACGGTGTCCAGCACCACGGATTCGAGCACGACTTCGCAGACCAGTACCACGGAGACGAGCAGCACAACAGGGTCCACCACCACGGCATCCAGCACCACTTCGCGAACAAGCACTACCGAATCGAGCACTACCACGGTGTCTACCACGTCGGAGTCTAGCAGCACGTCGCGGACCAGCACCACGGAAACGAGCAGCACCACGGTGTCCACCACGACGGAGTCTAGCAGCACGTCGCGGACCAGCACCACCGAAACAAGCAGCACCACGGTGTCCACCACGTCGGAGTCGAGTACCACGTCGTGGACCAGCACTACGGAATCAAGCAGTACCACGGGGTCCACCACCACGGAAACGAGCAGCATTACGGGTTCCACGATGACGGATTCTAGCACAACATCGCGGACAAGCACTACAGAAACGAGTAGCACAACAGTTTCCACCAGCACGGATTCTAGCACGACGTCGCGGTCAAGCACGACGGAAACCAGCAGTACAACAAGGTCTTCCACTACGGACTCGAGCAGTACTTCGCAATCTAGCACTACGGACACCAGTAGCACAACGAGATCTTCTACTACAGAGTCGAGCACCACATCGCGGTCAAGCACTACGGAAACGAGCAGTACCACTGGGTCCATCACTTCGGGGACCAGCAGTACCACGGGGTCCACGATGACAGGGTCGAGTACGTCATCGCGGACGAGCACTACCGAAACCAGCAGTACCACCGTGTCCACCACCACGAACTCGAGCACGACGTCGCGGACGAGCACTACGGTAACGAGCAGCACCACGGTGTCCACCATTACGGGGACAAGCACGACGTCGCGGACCAGCTCTACAGAAACGAGTAGTATCACCGGGTCTTCCACAACGGGATCGAGCACCGCGTCATGGACTAGCACTACGGAGACGAGCACTACCACGGCGTCCACCACAACGGAGTCCAGCACGACATCCAGAACAAGTATTACGGGAACAAGCAGTAGCACGGGGTCCACCACCACGGAGTCGAGCAGCACGTCGCGCACCAGCAAGACAGAGTCGAGCAGCACCACTGTGTCCACAACGACGGAGTCGAGCAGTACCACGGGGTCCACCATCACGGAGTCGAGTACCACGTCGCGGACCAGCACTACGGATACCAGCAGCACAACGGGGTCCACCACCACGGCATCCAGCACCACGTCGCGGACAAGCACCACGGAAACGAGCAGCACCACGGTTTCCACCACGACGGCGTCGAGCACCACGTCGCGGACCAGCACTTCGGCAACGAGCAGCACTACGAGGTCGACTACCACGGAGTCCAGCACGACGTCGCGGACCAGCACGACGGAAACGAGCAGCACAACGAGGTCTTCTACTACAGAGTCGAGCACTACGTCGAGATCCAGCAGCACAGAAACGAGCAGCTCCACGAGGTCTTCTACTACGGACTCGAGCACCACGTCGCGGACCAGCACGACGGAAACGACCCGCACCACAGGGTCCACGACTACCGAGTCGAGCAGTACCACGGTGTCCAGCACCACGGATTCGAGCACGACTTCGCGGACCAGCACCACGGAGACGAGCAGCACAACGGGGTCCACCACGGCATCCAGCACCACGTCGCGGACAAGCACCACGGAAACGAGCAGCACCACGGTTTCCACCACGACGGCGTCGAGCACCACGTCGCGGACCAGCACTTCGGCAACGAGCAGCACTAGAAGGTCGACTACCACGGAGTCCAGCACGACGTCGCGGACCAGCACGACGGAAACGAGCAGCACAACGAGGTCTTCCACTACAGAGTCAGCATTACGTCGAGATCCAGCACCACAGAAACGAGCAGCTCCACGAGGTCTTCTACTACGGACTCGAGCACCACGTCGCGGACCAGCACCACGCAATCGAGCAGCACCACAGGGTCCACGACTACCGAGTCGAGCAGTACCACGGTGTCCAGCACCACGGATTCGAGCACGACTTCGCGGACCAGCACCACGGAGACGAGCAGCACAACGGGTCCACCACCACGGCATCCAGCACCACTTCGCGAACAAGCACTACCGAATCGAGCACTACCACGGTGTCCACCACGTCGGAGTCTAGCAGCACGTCGCGGACCAGCACCACGGAAACGAGCAGCACCACGGTGTCCACCACGACGGAGTCGAGCACCACGTCGCGCACCAGCAAGACCGAAACAAGCAGCACCACGGTGTCCACACGACGGAGTCGAGTACCACGTCGCGGACCAGCACAACGGACTCAAGCAGTACCACCCGGTCCACCACTACGGAGTCGAGCAGTACCACGGGGTCCAGCACGACGGAGACGAGCACTACGTCGCGGAGCAGCACTACGGAAACCAGCAGTACCACAGAGTCCACAACGACGGAATCGAGCACGACGTCTCGGACGAGCAGCACAGAAACGAGCAGCACCACGGCTTCCACCACAACACAGTCTAGCACGACGTCGCGGACCAGTACGACGGAAACGAGCAGCGCAACGAGGTCTTCTATTACAAGTGCCACCAGCAGCACAACTGTGACCAGCTCGAGCGCAACCAGCAGCACCACTGTGATCAGCACGACTGGGACCAGCAGCACCACTGTGAGCAGCACCAGTGCCACCAGCAGCACCACTGTGACCAGCTCGAGCGCAACCAGCAACACCACAGTGAGCAGCACGACCGGGACCAGCAGCACCACGCGTAGCAGTACCAGCGCAACCAGCAGCACCATTGACCAGTCCGACTGGGACCAGCAGCAGCACGCGCAGCACCATCAGTGCCACCACCAGCAGCACCACTGTGACCAGTACGACTGGGACCAGCGGCACCACGCGCAGCACTATCAGCACCACCAGCAGCACCACTGTGACCAGCACGACTGGCATCAGCAGCACCATCGTCAGCAACACCAGTGCCACCAGCAGCACAACTGTGACCAGCACGAGCGCAACCAGCAGCACCACTGTGACCAGCACGAGCGGCACCAGCAGCACCACTGTCAGCAGTACCAGCGCAACCAGCAGCACCACTGTGACCAGTACGACTGGGACCAGCAGCAGCACGCGCAGCACCATCAGTGCCACCACCAGCACCACTGTGACTAGCACGACTGGCACCAGCAGCACCACTGTCAGCAGCACCAGTGCCACCAGCAGCACCACTGTGACCAGCACGAGCGGAACCAGCAGCACCACTGTGACGACAGGAAGCTCGATTTCGGGGACGTCCACGACCACCGCCACTTCCATGTCGACGCGTACCTCGGCCTCTGGTACATCCACCATAACGGCGACAGTCTCCAGGACATCCACAACTACTGCTACTGACTCGTCAACCGTCTCCTCGACCTCTCATACCTCTTTTTCTTGGTCCTCGAGCACAACCATCTCGACATCCGTGACCTCCACCACCACTGGCACGCTCACGGATACGTCGACAACAACCATGACCCATACGACCACAGGCACTTCGACAACCTCAGACAGTTTCACTTTTACCTCCACGGGCACGTCAACGACGTCGTTCCATACTACCTCAGCGTCCAGCACCACGACTCTGACGCGGACCACCGTCACTACGTCGCTCACGACGACCACCGTGAGCAGCACCACGGACTCCGCTACTTCGACGTCCGTGACCACAGGGACGGCCACCCCGAGGCGGTTCTCCATGGTTGTGGCCGAGTTAGGGGTCGCGTTGGACCCCACGGTCACCCAGACCGAGATGGAGAGCGTCGCGAAGGCCTCCATCGCGCTGTACTTGGATACCAGTGACTCTCTCATCGCCATAGACGGCGTGTACGAGTTCACCGAACGACGCCTTCTTGGCCCGGAGAGGAAGCTCACCTCGGACTCCACGTTGTGGCATGTAGACTACCGTGTCGAAGTGGAGGGGACGGACTACGAGGACACCCAGAGCGCCCTGGCCGCGCTGAATGACATGGCGGGCGCGGCCGACTTCTCCGCAGCGATTGCGGCAACGTTGGTTAACCTGGGAATCATGTCGTCGCATCGTCTACGGTGCGCTAGCGATCCTGTCGTGGAGCTGTGGATGCACACCACGGCGACCCACACGTCGACGTCGTCCACGACGTGCTGCGTGTGTCCATGGCCCGACGTCGACCCCGTGCCCATAGGGATTGCGGGACCCAACTTTCAGGTCGCTGGCCCATTGCCCGACCTTCTCCGCATCGAATGCACAGGCTTCAAATGGGGCGACACGTGCACTCCAGTCTGCGCACCTGGATACCACGTGGAAGAAACGCTTCTCTGCAGCACCGTCACCGAGAACGGGACGGTCCTCATAGGCGGGGAGTGGCAGGGAACCGCCAGGTGCGAGCCCAACGTTTGCGTGGGACGCCCTGCCTTAAAGATGCCAGTCGGCTACGACGGCGTGGGCGCGGGCTGTTCCGACCGGAACTACACGCAGACGTGTGACGTTTCGTGCTCGGAGTACGATGGCTATGAAAATTTGGCGAACCATATCCTGATCGAGTGCACGGCTACGACGGCCTACGACTGGGTCAACACCACTGGAGTGTGCACAGAGAAGGCTTGTTTCGCGGACAAGGTACCATTCATTCCGAACGTGGTCGACAGCTCGTCCCGCGTCGACATCGCCAGCGGAGCAATTTGCTCGCCCGTGTGCAACTCGTCATTCGAGCTCCTCGCTCCCATCCGATGCACGAGGGGCGTTTTCGACATGGTCCCACTGGTCTGCATGCCGACTGCGGACATAGAGGCTCTCGACTCTGCAGTGGGTCTTGTCGTGGAAGTGGCACTCGTCGAGAGCAGCTTGGACTCAGGCCTCGCCACAGAGTGGGCCGCAGGAAATTTGCAGTGGGACGCGATCAAGGGCGCGTTCGGCGCGGTCCTCGGTCTGTCCACGGACCAGATCCACGTGTACACGGCGAAGCGCCTGAACTCCGATTACCAGTCTGGCCTTCCAGCGAGGCGCCTCGCGACGTTGCAGGGGCTGTGGATAAAGTTGATGTTTCAAATCTACCCCGCCGACGATGAGACAGCTGTCACGGACGGCCTGGCCAGCCTCAACGCAAGTGGGGGCAGCTTCATCAGCGAGCTCGTTTCTGCCTTGCGGGATGCAGGCGTTGCTGTCCCACAGGGCCTCGCCGCGGCCAGGCTCGTCGTCGGGGCGCCCGTGTCCACCATCGTGACCGTGCCTGTGGCGCGCTGGGTGGCGCGCGAATCATGGTCGCTTTGCAGCAACTTGTGCGGAGTGGGGGAGCAGACTCGCACAGTGGACTGCCTGACCGGCTCTGAGGACCTGTGCAATGCGAACGTCCCGCCAGGCTACACCAAGGACTCGTTTATGCCCGACACAAGGGCGTATGAGACGTACGTCTCGTGCCCGTACGACTGGTCCTGCCCATCAGGCCCGGACCCCGTCACGGGCGACGGCTGCGATGCGCAGGCCGGCATCGTAGCAGCTGTGATCGCCGTCGCTTTCTTCATTGTGTCTTCCGTTGGGATTCGGTACTTTCGGAGAATGAGCGTGGTACCGAAGGGGGATCGTGAATATTAGGGGGTTGGATCGGTCAGGTGACCCAGTTGAGGTCGTGTGGACGAGGACGGAGGGGGTCGTTGACGAGGACGGTCAGCAAAAGACGAGGTTGCACTACGACCTCACCATGGAGCAGATGGCCCAATTCGACGCGTACGAGGACCGCGAGCGGGGCTGCGCCAATCTGATACCACTGGACCCTGGGGAGGACTCGTTCTTGAAGGTGGACCTGAACTTGAGCGGCACGATGGACTTCGAGCTTCACTTGACGATTAGGACCAAGGCCAGAGACTCGCTGCTGTTCGGCAAGGTCTTTCCCAATGACAAGCCGCCATTCGGCATCGGCAAGGCGAAGGTTTTGTTGATCAAGCATGGCAAACTCTGCTGGCAGGTCGGCGAAAGTTGCATCACTGGGAAGACCGACATTGCGGACGGCTTCCAGCACAAAGTCTCAGTCGGGTACAGAGCGCACCAGGAGCAATACTACCTCGAGGTCGACGGCTCGTTCGAAGCGAAAGGGCTTTGCGGTGTTGCTGACCACCAGGATGCCATCCTTGTCCTTGGCAAAGAAACTGCGCCGAGAAACGACGAGTTCAACGAGCTATACCCCTTGTTCGAAGACTTGCACGGCAGCGGCTTCGAAGTGCTCTCGGCGGAGCAACAGGGGGAGGCGCCCCTCTTTGACGGCGACGTCGACCATCGCGTTTGGAAGGAGTACAGATGGAACAAGAACCGGGGAAGGTACGCATGGTTTGCGTATGCATTGTGCATCGAGTCTGGAGAGGTGATCGACCACAAGATGACGAAGCAGGAGGCCGAGGAGGAGAAACACCATTCCACCCAACCGCAGTCGGTCGTCAGCCCGCCCCACTGGGCATACCACAAGAACCAGGACGTGGAGTATTGGTCAGCAACCTTGCACACGTGGGTCCCAGCCAAGATCATCGATTCCAGGGGTATGTACTTCGATGAGTATCTCAAGTTCAACGTTCTCCACTACGAAGTGTATGTGGGGGCGTCCAGGCAGTTGGTGCACGGCGTTGTGATGAACGACTTGCGCTTGCCGATTGTTGACGGCGACTTGATCAGCGTTTTCCCGCCCAAGCATAGGCGATTCTTTCCCGCTCTGGTCCGCAAGTCGATGAGGCACATTGACCCCAGAAAGGGATACGACATCGAGCTGGAGGACGAGCTGGCCGACGATGGGGAGACGTACACCAAATCTGAGCTGCAGAAGGATCTAGAGATTCGGAACAGGGACCGGAAATCCGATGCTGCAGGACGAAATTCGAATTTGGACGGCGTGGGCGAACTTGGACGTCATGGAGAGAGGCCGCTTGGAGTCCCAGCTCTGAAGGACTTGCCCGAGCAGGGCGTGGACGAATATAGGTTGATCAAGAACGTGTTCGCCAAGCGGGTGAGGAAGCGATACAAGAGGGGAGACCTCGTCCGCGTCTGTATGGGCGTCGACGCTGGCTTTGTCATGGCCGAGGTCGTTCGAGAAGAGCTGGCAGGAGGGACATCCGCAAGCCAAGGTGGCAAGGGCGCACGCCCAAACCCGAGCCCAGGCAGAGGCGACGACGGCAAGGCTGCCGAGGGAGCGCCATCGTTGCCACGCAACCGTCGCGAAGAACGACAACGTCACGCCATGGTCGTCGTGAGCATTGTGAGTCGCTCCGAGGGCTCTCCGGGCGAAGATCAATGGGTTGGCGTGGATGCCATGCTAGGGGATTCCGAGATGGCGATGGCGGAGTTCTTGCAGCGCCGTTCAAATAATTCCAGCGATTCGCCCTCGCCCACGCAGTCCAATGGTGATGAGCTGCGCGCCGTCAACGTGCACCCTGGCGCTGGCACAGCGGCTGCCGAGCCCACAATAGCCGTCTTCTCGGCATCCACTGTCACTGGCGTCCCTGGCTACCTCCTGCACCCGCTTCTCGTGGCTAAGCAGCCGCCGATGTCTGCGAGGATCACGTCGGCCGTGGCGTCCCTCTTCGCGGGTGACGACGGCCCTGCTGGTTTTTTGCTGTCGGCTCTGAGGGGCAGCCTGTCGTCGGAGCGTGCCGCCACGCCGACGAGGCCGTCGCCCAGGCCGGCCCGGCCCGCCACGTGTGTGATGGACAGCACACCGAGAGGCTCGGGCAACGGCCTGGAGCTGCCCGAGTCCTGGACCGCTAGTCCTTGATGGTGCTCATCGTAGAACGCGGATCGACGCTAGGCTCCCCTGGCGCCTCGCGCGCCAAGGAGGGGGGTAGAGCGCAGATCGGAGAAACCCGCGCCGACCTCCAAATTTTGTTTATGCAGTTTTTTGTTTCACTTTAGGTGTTCACCCGCCCATTGCTCAGCTCGGCCGTTCGAGCATCAGTGTCAGCATCACTGGCAACTGAGACCAGCTCTAGAAGCTTTGGTACGCTGACC